CTATGCCCAAATAACCCAAATTTTACAATAAGGTACTGTAAAACATCCCATAAAAGAAAAAAAAAAGCAGTCAGACTTCTTCTCTGGTACAAAGGGAGGACTGTATTAAAGTATCCCTCTCACTCAGATATTTGGACAGTCATCCTTCAATACCTTCAAAATGGTAAAATTTTCAGTACAGTACACAGTATAGACCACGTCTGTGGTTTATTGATATTCAATCAACCAATAAGCCTACCATTGAAGGCCTACCATGGCCCAGGTACTGTCTTAAGCACTGAGGATACAAAGACAAAAGTGAAACCCTCTCTGCCCTTGAGGAACCTATATTCTCTTGGGGAAAAGAACATAAATGTATAATGGTATCTAAAAAGAGGTAACAGGTGGTTTGGGGAGGGGGGTGAGGGGGAGGGCACAAGCAGCTGGGGCTTCCTATAGAATGAATTGATCCTTGAAGTTAAACCAGAGATTCCAAGAGAGGAAGAAATATTTATATTCCAGACATAGGAGACAGACCACACAAAGGCATAGAGATTGGAAATGGAGTACTATGTATGAAGAATAGTAAGAAGGCCATTTTGATATAGACTGTAGAGTATATGAAAAGATGTGGTGTGTCATGCTGAAAAGTTAGGTTGGGGCCAGAATGTGAATGAAGAGCACAATGGGGGGGGGGGGAGAAATATATAACTCATGTAATATGTATAGCTATATAATTAAATAGTATATTAATAATGATAAAGAAAAAAATTGGAAGATCTTCTGACCCAAACCCTAAGTCATCATCACTTCCCATATATAATATTTGGTATGCATTGGTGTCCCAAGACTCTATATCCTCAACTCCTCTCTCAGTCACTCCATATATCCAATCTGTTACCAAGTCTTGTTATTTTTACCTTCATAATATATATACGCCACATTCTTTCCATTTATGTAGCCACTATCTTGGTGCAGGTTCTAATCACTTTATACCTGGACTACAGCAATACCTACCGGTTATTTTCCCTGCCTCATCTCTCCCCACTCCAACCTATCCTCAACTCCGTTACTGAGATTCTTTTTCCTAAAGTGCAGGTCCAACTATATCCCTCTCCTCAAACTCTAGTGGCTCCCTATTACCTCTTAAGATAAAATATCAAATCTTTTTTGGCTTTTAAAGCTGTTTACACCCTAGTCTCCTCCTACCTTCCCAGTCTTCTTACACCATTCTCCTATTAATGTACTCTACAATCCAGCAACATTGGTTTTCTTGCTGCTTTTTACAACACCCCATCTCCTTTTCACTGGCTATCTGCCATGCCAGGAATCCTCTCGCTGCTCACCTGTGCCTCCTAGCTCCCCTCAAACCTGGCTCAAATCCTACTTTGTACATGAGATTTTTATCAAGCTCCATTACCCACGCTTGAGGCCACATTAAATCTGGGCTTCAATCAAGATAAGACCAATGACTTCACTGATCTAGAAAACTCCCAGATGACAGGTCAGTACCTTCTCTGTAATTTATTGTCTCTTAGAGTTGCCAAGAGCACTGAGAGATTAAGTAACTTGTCCTGAGTCATACAGCCAGTATGTATCAGAGGTGAGACTTGAACCCAGGTCTTCCTGGCTGTTTCTATATCCTCTATGCCACACTATCTCCTCAGAATTGGGGAACTTAGGAAAACTTATATACACATAAAAGTGTGGCTCTGAATATGAAATTCTTTGTGAACAGCCTAGAACTATTCAGTTTTCATTGTTCTTCAGACACAGAGAAAACGTTATTCAAGCTCACAGACCAACAAACTATAAACAAATTTCAAGCCATAGTAAAATGATACTCCTTCTTAAAAAAAAAAAAAGCACTCCATTAACTAGGATCTTATCCAGGTAGAATACCATTTCAAATAGTTAAGGGTTGTTAAAGGGTCTCCGAAACTTCTTTTTGAGTTGCCACATTTTCCAGAAACACTGAGATCCAGAACATGCAGGAAGCCCTGAATGTGTCATGGATAAAGCTTCTCCTGAGCTGACATAATTTGTGCTCTTGGGAGGCAAAACAGGTCCCTAGCCAGTCTGTACCAAGCTGGGATAATGCTTGTATAGCTGGGGTACTTTGTAGATAAATGGACCCTCCTATCTTCATAGTCTAGCAGTTCCCAAGGGAAAAGAACGCGGCTTTTGCCATCACCTAGCTTCTCGTGGTGGGGAGTGGTCATGTCTTTTTTCCAACCTTTGATGCACCATTTCCCCTGCTGTGATATACCCCTTTCTGGTATCCCCTCCTTCCTTTGTCCTGCTATTATAAAAATGTAAAGTTCTATAAGGATTGTGAACTCTTTGCTCTGGCTTTGATTTCCACATGCATGTTCATTCTTCTTGTAATAAACCTAGTTTTCATTCAAGTTTTCTGAATGTATGATTGTTAACTAGAGAGAGTTTGTATAATTTTTCAATGCAACAATGTAAACATTTGTACTGTACATTATTTCTGTATCTACTTCGTCAAGATGTATGTTTATCCACCCATGTAGTACAACTGAAATATCGATGACAACCTCTTTCTGCCTGGAGCTCCTCTTCATGATATGCTTGTTTTGGGGGAAGAGGTCAGAAAGTCAAACCAGGAAGACTGGATTTCAAATCCTGACTCAGAAAACTTACTAGTTGTGGATATAAGCAATTCACAACTTCTCCCAGCCTGTTTCCTCATCTGTAAAATGAGAGGGTTTGCTCAACGGCCTCCAAGGCGTCCTCTAGCTCTAAATCTATTATCCTACATCCCAGCAAAATATTTGGTTGCAACCCCCGGGGTTGGAAAAAATTTTCTCTTTTATATCAAGTCTTTTTAGGAAAACTAGGGTCAGGAAAGTACAGTGGAAAGATGGATGGATTAGAAGTCAGGGGAAAAGGGTCCTTAACTCTGGTTCTACTATTAACCATCTGAGCAACTTTGGTCAATTCATCTAGCCTCTCCAGGCTGCAGTTAATTCAGACATTCAGTGACCCTCTACATAAAATACTTATCATGATCACAGTCCTTTTCATTTTAAAGAGCAAAGTCTCCACACTTAATCAGATTGGCTAACATGACAGCAAAGGAAAATAACAAATGCTGGAAAGGATATGGTAAAATAGGTACACTATTACATTGGTTGGTGGTGGAGCTGGGAACTAGTCCAATGACTCTGGAGAACAATTTGGAACTGTCTAAAGAGCTGTAAAACTCCGAATACCTTTTGACCCAGCTGGGTCTACAGCCCAAAGAGATCAAAGGAAAAGAAAAAGGATCCATATGTACAAAAATATTTGTAGCAACTCTTTTGTGGTGGCAAACAGTTGGAAACTGAGGGGATGCCCATCAATTGAGAAATGGTTAAAGTTGTGTATATGATTGTGATAGAATACTAATTATGCTACTGTAAAAAATGACAAAGGGGATGGTTTCAGAAAAACTTGGGAAGGCTTATATGAACTGATGCAAAGTGAGAACTAGAACAGTATACAACTATAATATTTTAATGATAATCAACTGTGAAAGACTTAGCTACTCTGATCAATACAATGACCCGTAGCAATTTCAAGTCTCATGATGAAATACGCTACTCATTTCCAGAGAGAGAAACGATGAACTCAAGTACAGATCGAAGCATATTTCTTTCTTCATTTTTGCTTTTATAATACTGTGGCTAATGTAGAAATATATTTTGCATGATTATGAATGTATAATGGATGTCACATCTTCCTTTTCAATGGGTATGGGGCTGAGGAGGTGGAGGGAGAGAATTTGGAACTGAAAATAAAAATAAACCAGACGTTTATAATACAAAAAGCGAACCCCTTCCCAATATTACCCTGAAGAAAGAGGATTTTGTCTTTCCATTCTGGCAAGTCATTTTTATCATATCCACTGAGGAATCTGTGATAACAGGGTTTACACAGTGCTCAGAGGTTGCAGTTAATTGAATTGAGATGCCCCATTATAGGTTTACTCAGAATTAGAGATCTGGCTTAAGAACAAGACATCTCCTAATTAGTGTCTCAGGTGAGTGGAAAGTTATAACCTATATGTGCTAGAATAAAGATTTAGGGTGCCTTCTGCAATACCTTTTACATGTAGCCCTCCTTACCAAGCATGCTGCGATGCCCCAGATGCTGAGTTAAGAATCCTTTAGGAGCAGTCTTAATTCTTTAGCAGGACCTATTTGAAAATGAGTATGATTCTCTCCTTGACACTAAAGGAAAGAAAATATAGACAGATCTTCCTCACCAGGCTCAGGCTTTCATCCTAGTGGGACTACAAAACTGAAGAAAGAAACTTTGAGTTTAGGCATTTTGAGAACTTAGGCAATATAGATCTAACTGACATGACTCAAGACTAAATTTGTGCTTGTTTTACCTGTCTCAAAAGATCTCAGGGCTGCTTATTGTTTTAATTTATCATTTAAAATAATGACAAGACTATAATAAAGCTCTAAGTTATTGTTGTTGAAAAATTAATCACCCTCCAGCCCACCTCAGCTAACAGACAGCCATCACCCAGCCCAGATTCGTAGGTCCTGCCAGAGTTTATACTCCCCTGGTACAACCTTAAAGAACTGTCACATCCATAGGATTTGAGTTTTTAAGGAATAATAACAATCATGACCAACCCCACATTTATATGGTGCTTTCAGGTTTACATAGCGCACTGCTCACAATTTTGTGAGGTGAACAATTTTACTAATTGAAGCTTGATGTAATTCAAGTGATTTGATCAAAGACATACAGTGTTCAAGTGTTCAAGGTCATATATAAGCCTGTATTCCTTACTCCAGATCTGGAGACATAATAAAGTAATAGCTTTTACTAGGTACAGGTTTTTTGGTGTTTTGATTCCACAGAAAAAAAAATACTAAAATGGGAACCAAAGAAAGTTTCTTGTCAGTATTTAAATTAGTAATTTAAATTTGAACATTTCAAAGAAAACTCCTGAATCACCAATTAAATTCTTATATCAGTTACTCAAAGGAAGCAAATATTTTTGTAAAAAATTTATTTCTCTGTAAATACAAATCCAAACATCAACAAACAATACTCCAGTGGAAAAATACTAGCCATTAACATTGAAAACTTTCTTTTTATTTAATAAATAGAACTTTGGCATTCAAAATTCTAGCTGTAAACCCTATTTTTTAAAATATAAAACCCCCCCAAAACACACACACACAAACAAAAACAACCCCTTTACACAAAGAGGCAAGAATGATAGGCCTGAAGGCATAAGCCATCCAGTGGCTTCACTTCCTTTTTTACAATGACTGCATTTCAATTAAGTCATGACAACTGTATTTACACATGAGGTATTCTGAACGGTTCAAAAACTGAACCCAATTTACTAAAACTACCAGTCATAGAGACTGATCTAATAATACACACTGCTGTGCTTTTAATGTAACTGCCTAGCACCCTACTTCTCACACCTATGCAATACTGTAACTAATAGATACAAATGAATACATTCTGATGGAGATTCCTGCTCACTTCACAGGGGTCAAGAGCTCAGCTCCAAAGACAAATGCCTAGGACCTACTCCTATATTTATTAAATATTTCTCTTTGTTGGAAAAAAAAAAGCTTAAGAAAGTCTAATTAGAGAAGAAACAAGGTGCAATAATTATCGACATTCTTAAAGCTTACGTAAAATGGAAATGAACACGTATACTGCGGGCAAAAAGGCACAAGGGTGCTGACTGTATACAAATGTGGAATTAATATTGCTAATGAGTTATCGATTTGGAAATCTAACCATATTCAATATTAATATTTTAATTAAAAAGGTAAGTGGATCCCAAAATTTATTTTTCCCCTTTAAGACAAATGCCTTTATGGAAAAACAAGATTAAAGACAAGCAAAATTCCACAGCAAGATCATTGGGGGTTAGGACAGGTACAGCTGTCTCTTTATATACCAAGTAGGAAAGCTCTTCTCTTGCTTGTGGAGAATAGAAATAAACTGCCAAAAATGGAAAGAGAATTAACTTTGGCTCTTGTGGCTGCATCTACTGGCAGTTTCAAATTGTTTAGCCTGAGTGTGGGGATCATTCTAAGAATTGCTTATTACTTTAATTACAAATATACAATGATACAAACCAATACAACAGATGCCAATGAAACAAGCTAGATGCGTGCCGAAGCAACAGCTACACTACATAAATACGTACAGTTCAGGGCCTCAGCTGTTCGTTGCTCAAAGAACAATTACTGATGTTTTAAAGTACATTTTTAAATACAGTAATTTCTGTAAAAAAATATGCTCACCAATTCCTACAAATTAATCATAAAGCTATACATAGGTTAATAATTAAGTCCACTAAGACAGAACTGTACAGTATCCACCATCATCAACTTTTTTCCAGCCCTTGAGATTGTCTCTTAATCGCTACTGAAGAAAATTATCATGACTAAAGCACTTTAACAAACTGTCCATGACTAAAATTATGTCACTGTTAATATTAAACAACCTTGTTACATATGTGAAATGGGTCCACAAAGTGTTTTCAATCAGGTAAACAATCCAGCATATCTTACACCATCAAAGCCTATTCTTCTTCCAATCTGATAGGCCACTGTAAATGAATATAGATTTGCCAAGAGCTCAATAATACCAAAGAGTATTTGCTGACATCAAATGAATGATAACTATTGTGCCTGTGAGGTCAGGAACTTTGATATGCAGAGATTAATTTAGGCCTTTGATTGAGATACCTGCCATTTATCTACCTGTTTTAAAGTGAAGGAAGCAGACTAAATCCACATTTCAAAAATTAAATGACCAATATTCAAAGGTTAATACAGTCTGATTATTAAAAGGCCATTTCTAAGAAGCAAGTACATTTACAGTCACAATAGTGCATTAAAAGGGTTTTTCACACTAAAGAGAACCTTCAAAGTAGGTTAGATTTAAATTCTAAATATTTTCTTTTCATATACAATTGCAATAACTTCTGAACATTTACAATTCCAAAGTAATATTATTATTTCAACAGGCTACTGCAGCATTTCTGGCTGGCCCAACTCACTCTTTTTCTTGAGTCTTCCAGGAAAACAAAACCAAAATCACTATTTTTTTTAAAAGTGTGGAGAAAGTAGCACTATACTAGAAGGGGTGGCCAGGGGAGCGGTGCCCCGTGGCAGGGAGGAGTGCACAGCACCAGAGGTGTTCTTTAAGAAATAGTCTAAGATGATTTCAGTTCTACAAACTGAAGGCAACAGTACTAGTTTGCCAGTTTTCCATTAAATTTACCTTTTAAAAATGCTCATGACAAAGTTACTTTAGTGCAAATTAATTATACACTTTAGAACATTAACTTATTAAAATAATAATACCCTGAAAAGATTTCATGACAACTAAGCCAAATGAATAAACAGACCTGGAAAAAGGTTGACCGTTAGGATTAAAAAAAAAAAACACCCAACAATTTATTATTAAACAGCATAGGAGACAGGTGATGTAATTTGGTGATTGTCTACCCCAAGTCCAGTGACTTTCCAGTTCCAAGAACTGGGAGTGGTCTATCCCAAGGGACTGTACTTATTCTATCTGCTTTACTGTCAAGGCATTTCCACCAATGCTGATATTTTAGAATTTCAGTTCTATAGAATAGAGAGATAATTTAACTATTCTAAAATATAATACCCACTCATTCTAAAGTTTCATCTTTGCATCATGTATTTAGATACAAATTTACTATTTTAGTGCCTTATACTAGAGGTGGTATTTTTGTTTCCCTTAAAAAATACAAATCAAACACATCATTTGTTCTCTCTGGTGCCTATATCACTCCATACTATATTAAGATGCAGACGAAGATATCATTACTGCACTGAATTAATGATCCTTAGTGACTGAGTCAGTACCTCCTTAAATCACCTCAGTTACTAGCAAGGGAGTATTTTACACAGGCACTGGGCAGAATCCAAGTTGAATATATCAACACTGTTACTTGAACTAAACTGTAGAATAATTTATACATGAGGCCTGCCTCTAAAAATAATGTGACCAACAGTTTAAAAAAACCAAAATATTATCAGATTGAATACATGAAAATAAATGTTGTCTGAAAGCAGTCACCTCGAGTGGCTATGTCTCTATTCCAGTGATGCTTCCATTGCTCAAAACATTTGTGGACCTACTCTTTTGTAGATCTTTGCCTTCTAGTTTGAGAGCTACAAAAATATTATACTTCACTTATATTGTTTTTACAAAACAATTCAATACTAACCTTTTAGTAACCACATTTGGCTCTAAATAACTTCCAGTCATTTCCTAAAATTAAACTCCCCCTCCAATAATCAAGATTTCTCACAATGAAGTTATTCAAAGAGGTGTGTGCCATAGATTCTGAAGGAATCGTCAAAAGAATATTTTCAAAAGCATTTTAGGCAATGGCTGCATTTTGGGGTTAAGTGCATAATTTTTGAATTAATTTGGATGCATATAATTCAATTATGCTTATTAAAAATTATTTATGTTACCTTAGACTCACATATAAGTTAGAGAACTAGCATGGTCAAGGGTTAAATGAGAAACTGTCTCAATGGGTGCAACTTGGTACAACAAGGAAAAGAAACCAGCTAAGTATGGTTTGTATCTTTGTGTTGGTGAACATCCAAATGTGACACTGAAGACTGCAGCTAATTTTTTCAATAGCCTTCAATTTGAAACTTTCGCAGACAAAAATTTTTATATGTTAAGAATCACAACCAAAGCTAGTATTCTTAATTTCCCTTTTTGGTGATCATCTGCAGTGTTTATGGATGTCTTAACTTTAAACAAAGCTTTATGTTCACAATGTTCTTTTCAGATAAATAACTTACCCTACCTCCTCAAGAAAAAACCAACAGGAACTACTATGTAAAGATACAAGCACAAACTAATGCTAAATATCTCCTTTGCTGGAAAAGAATTCAAATGCTGAAACACTCACTCATGATGTTGATATGTTTCATCATATTAAACTTTCCCAACTGTAACAGGTAGCTTGAAAGCATACTAAAAAGTAGTTCACTTGTCTACATACTACTACAGTCTAATCCCTACAACTACATCTTTCAACAGCATGATTGTTCCAATAACAAAAGCATCTTCCATGCCCCTAGTAAAGGGGGAGATGTTGTAAACTTTGCTTCAGTTAGTCCTTGAACATCCTAAATGTGCAATACAAACTTCTATTGGAAGAAACAATAAGTGGAGATACAATCAGTACCTTCCTTGTAACCTTTGCTTTAACTCTAGAAACCTTTATAAACATTAAAATGCCATGGGAGTAAAAAAAAAAGGAAAAAAAAACACAAAAAACAAGACACCAACCCTACCTCTTTATCTGAATAGCACTCTTCACAGCTTGGTCCTACAATCAGTAGTTTGAGAATAGAGATATTTTTTGTGTAGACTTTATCGTACTTTTCAAATGATGATTTGAAACATGTGGGTTTTTTTTTTGCTTGATTAAATAAGTTCCATTGTAACTATCTCCCAGTCCCATCCTTCCCTACCCGAAAATAAAACAACACACAGAAAAACCTTTATGCAGGTCAAATAGAAATGCAATCTTCCAATATGGTTCCTGAACAGAAAGATGAAGAATAGTTAACACAGCAGCATTGGGCAATGAGTCATTATTGCTGTGGGACCAATACTTTATCACTGGGTAATGCAGTTGTCTCCCATGTCCTGAGCATAGCGGTCTGATATCATAGTCCTTAATTCATCAATCTCCTTCCGTAACTGGCACAGGTCTGATAGTTTTTTAGTCAGTGATTCCGGGCTGTGGTCATTCTCAGTCTCTTCAGTTGAAGAGCTCATAGCTGTGAAAATAAAATGAAGAAAAGTAGAACTTTCCCACGTTTTCAAGGCTATTTTGGAATTTTCAATTTTATTACCTCCACAAATATAATGCTATGTGTTAAAAAGTCAAAACTCAGGTAAAAATTATGCATCAATTTTGAATCTGTAAAGAAATTAAAACATCATAACCATTAATTAGCACTTATAGACCCCTAAAATTTTGTTTCCATTTTAAATACCTTTCTAGGGTATTCAGATAGTTGTTACACTCATATTCACATATTTGCTAAGTGTTTTTAGTAAAGTATCTGACATAATTATTCTATCTTTGTGAGAATATATGATAGTGCAGATATATGAAATTCAGAACTGGCTGAAGACTAGACCCCAAAACTTGTCAATACTGACATGGTCAACTTGGAAAGGTCTCTGTCAGAATACTCCAGGGATTTCTACCTGACCCTCTACCATCTAATATTTTCATTAATGACTTGGATAAATGTAAAGATTAAATGTTTGTAAAATTTGGAGATGAAATATAAAGTCACTAGCCAAGATGCTATACGATATCTAGGATCCAAAAATCTTTGACAGGATAGAATGATAAGCTGAATCAAATAGAATGACATTTAAAAAGGATCACATTTTATTCTTGGGCTGGAAAACAAAACAAAACAACTGTTCCATTACAAAATAGGAGAGGCATGGCTAGACTGTAGCTGGTCTGAAATGATGTGGGTGTTTTTATAGACAGAAAGCTCAATCAATGACTCAACAGTGTCATCTGGCAGCCAAAATAGTTACTTTGATCTTTGGCTGCATTGAGATGCATAGTATTCAGAACAAAGAAGTGACAGTCAAAGTGTACATTGCTCTGGTCAAAGTATATCTAGACTATCATGTCCAGTACTGTACACTACACCTTAGTAGTGAGCTGGTGAGAGATAAAGTGAGGGTGCTCATCTTAGAGATGACTTGAGAAGACATAGTAGGGATTAGATTTCTGCTTGGTGGAGGTTATAGAAAGTAAGATTTACACTTAATGAAAATAAACACTTGCTAATGACTACAGCTGTCTAAAAGTAGGATGGGCTACTTCAGGACAGAGGTTCCCACTTACTGTAGGTTTTTAAGCAAAGGATGACTGCCTACTTGTCAAGATAGGCTGGAGAAGATTTGCTCAGGTAGAGGTAGGACTAAGTGTCTTCTAAGGTATCTTCTAACTCTGAAAATCTGTGCTACTTCACAAGTGCTCTGAACAGTAGTTCAATGTATTAAAATTCAGAAAAAAACATCCTTCTCTGTCTTCTCTCTGTACTCAAGCACCTGAATCTTTTATTTGGTGCAAGACAGATAAAAGATGTACATGCAGAGTGGGCAAATCTGGCATGTAAGCATCTTACCTCTTAAAATGATTTATGTTCGTTTTAGACATCAAAATGTTAACTTCCAAATTAGCTAAGTTATTTCCATCATATTCAAAGAAAGAATTGCAAGGCAGTGCAGGAGAGTAAAAAGAACAATGGTGCTAGTAGTGAGAAAGCTGAGTTTGAATCCTAAACATGAGGCAGAGACAGATTAAATAACTACCTATTAAAGTCAGTTTCCTTAGCAGTAAGATGGAGATTTAAACAACAATTTCAACTACTCATCTCACAGTGGTGTCATGAAACTGCTTTGTAAACCCTAAAATGCTCTAAAAATGGGTTATTTTAGTCACAGTTCAACTGTAGGTTTTCACTACTCAACAAGAACAGGACAACAGACTCATTCTGAAAGGGAGAATTATTTGATTTTTAACACAGGATACAGCCCTTCACTTGGGTAGATAATTTTGGACTCATTTACTCCAGTGTTCCTCTGTATATGTACAGAAAAATAAGAATTGCTCCCTCATGTCAATTACACTATATTAATCCAGACAATCTCAAATTAAGTTGTGGTCTTTTTCATTTGACTTTTCATGTATATATCATACCCCTATTACATCATGGTCAGTACTAGGACATGATCTATCTTACCTGTTTCATATCCATTCTATATCAAATCCTATAGGACCCAGGAGCTTTAATATAAAACACTGACCACCATCATCACAAAGATTTTTTTTGGGGGGCGGGGGGCGTGAGAAGGTAGGAGGATCAGGGAGGGAAACTGATGGTAAATGGTTAGGAGGCCCAGAGAGCATTTGAACTTTTTACTCAGTAGCCTGTGGCATAACACTCCTTTGTAAGAAAGTAGCTGGTTCACCCACTTACAACTTCTTTCTCTCATTACACAAGAAAAGCTGTGTTTAGGACACTAAGGAAATACCCAAATGCTCTTTGGGTTCAGAAGTTCACAAAGAGACAAACATCACCCTTCCAGTGAAAGAATACCTTTGTTTCCTCCTCCTTGATCACCTTCAAGCCTCTACAGTTTCCCTGATAAAAGCCTCCCCTTACAGCTTAGTGGATACGTTTTGAAAATTACTATGATCAAAAGCTTCATCCCTCTGCACTCAGCATGGAAATAAGCTTATCCAAATGTAACTGTGCTGGTCTTCTAACAAGAGAGACAGGTCTACTGGACTCACACTCACCTATCAATCTGCAAAAAATTAATGCATATTCACTGAGAAGGGAAACATTACCACCAAAGATCTATAGGCAAGAGAGGCCAATTCACTCAATGTGACTTCTTTATTTATTTATTTATGGTTAGGTCATCAATCCATAAAAGTAAGACAGGAAATTAATGACAACTATTCTCAGCATCCTCTTAGAAATTAATAAAATATAATGTTTTAAAGTGCCTTAAACAAGGTCACTGGCCATATCAGAAAAGTAAGAACATTTGATTCCCGTTCTGTACCTTTGATTCCCTTTGTGCACCTTTAGCTTCCAGATAATCCTAATTAGTCTGAGGCAAGCAAGAAGATTTCCTAGTTCTGCAATACTGAAACTGGTCTGGATTTGCATCAACTATAGACTGTCAATGAAATGAGAAGTCACATACCCATCTATATCCACAGAATAGTTCATGGGCTAGAACTTCAGAGACTGAGCTCAAATTGTGTGTGGATCTGTTGTTGGTTTGTTGTTTATGACTCTGTGTAATTCATTTATGTCACAAAGATATTGTGCACCATAGCAAGAGTAAAAAGTGAAAAGAATCTAAACTAAGGATGAGGAGATTAAAGAATCAGAAAATCTTAACAGCAAAAGTGACCTCAGACATCACTTAGAGAAATCCCCTTCACTTTAAATATGAAGAATCTGAGATCAAGAGAGATTATAAGGTATGTGTGAAGTTAAGTGGCCAATATGAACTTAGAACTGAAGTCTAATTCCTTCGATAGTTCTACTATACCATCCTATGAGGAATATGTAGTTATGTCTACATAACTACAGCAAATTAATTTCTCTATGCTTTAGTGTCTTTCCCATAAATCATAGGTCATGCCTAGTTTCATCTTAATTTGAGGATAAAATGAAAAAAGGGAGTCATTTTTGTGTTATATAAACCCAAAGTACTATAAGAGGAAACAGAGACCAAATATAAGCATTCTGTTGTAGTGGACAGATTTTCTGTTTAAGAAGAAAAATGCAAGAATAAGATGTTACTTACATCTGATTCCGAGCAATAATGAAAGATTAGGCTCCTTGCCCTGGGCTCTCTGGTTAAGAATACTGCACAATGCTTTCAAGTCAAACAAACAATGGGTCATTTCCTTGAACAACTGATCAACCATGTTAAAATTCAATAGTGGCTGTAGAGATAAGTCGGCCTGATGCTTGGACTGTTTCTCTTGCTGTTCTTCTAAGACAGGAGAATATTCTTCACTTAGTCTTTGGTTCTGCATTGGGGTAAAAGAACAAAATAAGGAGTTAAATGAAAAGAGATAAACAATTAAAAACACAATAACAATTTTAATTAATAAAACATATGGGATATATATTCTAAAACAACTACATTTTCTTTTTAGTTGTGAATTTAATAGTAATCGGCATAATAACATTAGCTGCGGATGGATTGTCTTCACCAAAAATTAAGAAAGGATCATTTTCATTTATTTTTACAAAAGGTAACACTTCCTTAAATTAAAATAGGTAACTTATGTTTCAAATGTAATCTGCGGTTTTTCTACTCACTTCAAGTAATGTTTCTGTTAACTTCATTATAATCTTTTCTTTTTCTTCTAGCTCTTCCTCCATTTTCTGAGTTGCCAATTTCTCTTGACAAAGTTTCTCTTGCATAGACTAGAAAAGAATCAGGAAGGATGTCAATACTGAAAGCTGAATATCAAAACTAAGCAATGAGGATTTTAAAATTAATTTGTTCTTTTTTATGGTCCTCTACCCTTCTTGCACTCTTTAGGTCATTATTCCACATAACCAGAACAAGACCACTCACTGGAGAGGTAATATACAAAGCTTTTTCTTATATAAAGAAAGAAAGGGTAAAAAAAGCATGAAACCTTAAACTGTTGTTTAAATATTTTATTCCCAAAAGGCCCTTTTCAATAGCAAAAGTATCTTAGCGACTAAAATTTGTGCTAAGTTTTCTTTAGCTAACAAGGTAAAGTTATTTTAATCTTTATTTTTCCATTATCAACAATGCACCAAATCTTGCCTCCTCTGTAAGTACTATTTTCAGCAGCCGATTTTGCTGCTAAATTCACAAACCAAAGGCCTATTTTAGATCTTTGAAGTCTTATATTCTTTTGTTTTTAAAAATTAGACTATATAGGCATAGGACACAGAAACATGAAGTAGTGTTATTTTTTAAATCTTCTTTACAGTAGTAGGAAGGACATTTTAATACCATTTGGGTCATTCCTCCTAATTAGTTTAATTTTCAACTATAAACCTAAGAAAAACTTGTCACAAAATTTGCAGTAATTAATGAATGCTGTAGGGCCTCTCATTGACTTAATTCATTGACTATCAAAATCAATACATGTACAAGTAGAATTCCTTTGAACTATTTTTAGAACTATATTCAGTCTCTTTAAAAATACTTCAGAAAAATGACTACTTGAATACCAATTAATCTATTATGAAGGAAATTCCTCTCTCCCCATCCATGACTCCATCTCTGGATTAAACATAAACACAGACAGAATGGATATTAACACTGATTAAATAAAGGTTTTTGGAATATCAATGCCTTTACTCATTCATCTGAGTGAGTGATATAATTTGAGCAGTTCATAACTTTTTTGGTGTCACGGACCTTGTGGGTAGTCTGGTGAAATCTACAGACCCCTTCTCAAATAATTTTTTAGATGCACAAAATAAAATACACAGGATTTCAAAGGGTAATGATTACAATGAAACACAGTCAACAAAAAAATTTTTTTTATCAAGTTTATTGATTCCAGGTTAAGAATCCCTGATTTAGAAAGTTCATTGTAACCGTTTACATTCAATGAATTATAAAGAAAACAAAAACATTCTAAAAGGCTTACAAATTGTGACACATAGGAAATGTAATCCAACAAAGTCTTAGAAATTTGGGTCAAAAGGAATACTACCTATCCAGGAACGCATACATTTGCAAAGCATCCTACTAAAAGTGAATCTTAAAACACTGAGAGTTCTCCTTTCATGGAAGTTTATACTTTTAGATACTGGAATTCATTTATAACTGTAGTCATCTACACTGTCAGTAACATATGGCATAAATTCACCAGCTGATAATTACTCAACTATATGTTACATGCCTGGCATATTATTTGGATAAAATTCAGAATAGTGTTCAAAATGCTAGCTTCTGATTACTCCTAACTGCATAAAGATGTTGCCTGTATATACTGAGATAACTAGATTTTTATAGTTGTATGAAACTTAAATAACATTTTCCTTAATCCTCTTATAAGGAACAAGTTTAGTAAGTTTGTAATTTGCCCTTCATAACAATTTAAAACCATAAATTTTTACTGGTTTGAAATAAGAGTATGCAATACTTGTAACTGTGCATAGTTTTCAATTTAATATGGTGCTAAACTTATTCAATAAATAGCAAGAGAGTACATCTGTGGTTAATATGTTGACATGTATGACTATCCATTCATTATGTGATACACATTCAGTCTTCTCTTGATCAAACAAAAGGGCTTATCAAACAAAAGGGGGTATTATTGCTGGTAGTTGTAAGTAGGACAATTGGATTTGGATGATACATCAAAACCAGGCAAGCAAGATTCAAGAACACTTTGCAAAAAGCAATTTAATAATGGAAAAAATCATGTACATGAGATACCTCTCCCTGAAGAACCAACTGCTATATGATTTCTAGCTAAGAAAGCTTTTTTCTTCTCATAGATATTATGCTTCACTCAAAGCATCAATGCTTCTCCATTCTGAACTGTGTGAAAACTGCATATAATTTCTTTTTTAAAAACTCTACCAAATCTATAAGCTTCACCAAATTCAAATGTAATGTAATTTAAATATAAAACCAGGGCTCTCTAAAATAAAATTGTTAAAAACAAAGCACCATGCTATTACTCATTTAAAACAAAACAAAACAAAACAGGGTATTTCTGAATTAATGAAGAATGCTTCCAATTTCTTGTGCACTCTTTACACATAATGTAGGAACAATGTGTTTAATTTTACTTTAGAAGGCATATTTGTGAATGTGTCTTGCTTCTGACATCATATGAACTAAGTATTTAATCATTTCTTAGTTATACAGGAAAGATAGACAAATGAAGATTTTATTTTTCTCAAAGATTTACTTGCTAATGATCACCGATTAATTAAAAAAATTTTTTTAAAGATTTCATGTCTGCTGCAAACTAACTTATTCAGGTCTCCATTTAAAAAGTATTATAATGAATGTTTTAAAAACATTATTGATGAAATTTACCTAAATAAGGTATAGCAGTTAGTGCTAGACCTGTAGCCAATAAGTCATAAACTTAAATCCTGCCTATGGTACTTGGAAGTTGTTTGACCCTGGAAGTCACATAAAATCTCTCAAATCTCAGTGTCCTTACCTGTAAAATGGGGATAATAACAGTGTCTATCTCTCAGGGTCATTGAGTATCAAATGAGATAATACATGTAAAGTACTTTTGAAATCCTAAGGCATTATGTAAATGTTAACTGTTATTATTATTTGTTCATGAATAAAATGATCCATTAAAATAATTTACATATAAATCTGTAAAATACAGAAATTTAAATTATCAGTCTATTCACAATATTTGTCATGCATTTCTAAAACTGAAAACTTAAACACTGTTTACCAAACACTATTCTAAATATCTCAAATCTCCACTGGCCTTACATTTCCCATCTTACTAGCGTATTCAGAAACAAGTTTACTAAGTTATTAGATGCAGATATCTATTTGGACCATCATTTTCTAAACAGTTGAAGCTCTACATTAAAAGTGGATGACATACTAGATTTAACTTAGATAACATTCTGTGTAAGTTTATTCTTCTATTTGAGAGTGTGTGTGTATATATACATATATATGTATACGCATGTGTGTGAGTGTGAGAGAAGTATATACATTCAATTTTGACCTTTCCAAGTCTTTTTACATATTACTCCTCTCCATGCACCATTCTATCCAGCTATCCAGGTTATTAGCTACAAAAGCTAACAACTGCACTGTGACTTTGGGACACCCTCTATATCAGCAAAACTGAGGAATAAAAGTATTACTGAACACATAATGCATTTCACTGAGAATATGTGAAAGATTTTGAAAATATATGGATAGAGCATAAAATATGTGAATATTTATCTTCAAAATGCTAGCCAGATGCTGACTCCTGCCCAGGAACCCTTTTCCACATCCTTACCTCTGACAGAGATAGCCTCTCTGAGGGCCACTTCCCCTTCACAACAGTCAATGGTTGCAGACCATCTGCCTATGTCATAGTTCCCCCAAGGTTCTCATGGCCTGCCATCTGCCTTCTTACTTTGCCTGTCAAACCTTAAGTGCCACTTGGTTTTTCTATCTGCAATGAAACTGAATGCCACCTTACATGTTATCTCACAGAATCAGAATTTGAGCTCGTTTACAATAGGGACCGTCTTGGTTTTTCTATCTGCATCCCCAACACTTAGCACAGTACTTGGCAAAAACTAAGTACTTAACAAATGCTTTTCCATTGCATTCAAAACACTTTAAATAATAACAACAACAATAATAAAAACAATAATAATAAACATTAATAGCTAACATTTATTCAGTGCTTTAAGGTTTCCAAAGTGTCTTACCTATTTGATATCATTTTGATCCTCACAATAACTAATCTCTCTGAGGTGGGTGCAATTATTCTGATTTTATAGGATGAGGAAACAGGTGAACAGAGGTTAAGTGACTTGCCCAGGGTCACACAAATATGAAGCATGAGTCAGGATTTGAACACTGATTTTCCTGATACCCAGTCCAGTACTTTACCCAGAATGCCACCTATATGCCACTAATCTTATACATGAAACAAAATTTAAAGATTAAATAAAAATGGTAAATTGCCTAATAAAATATTAAATCTTTGAAATTTTAGTCTACTGTCATTTCAGCCTTCTTTTTCCTTCTTTTAAGTGGGTTCATGCTAAGTCAGATTTTAAGCATATATTCTAACTAGCATAAAAATTATTATTATCATAATAGTTCCTTGAAGCAATATAATATAAATTTCCTTTTAAATGACAGATATTTGCATAAAAGCATACTTAGGAAAAAACGTCTTATTCCTCTAAGATGAGCTTCCAAGTGCTTATTTAGTAAAAGCAAATACCTAGTTCACTAATTACTGAAACATAAGTTTTGATATGAAAATTGTAATCAAATTAAATGTGGGAAAAGACTGAAAAGCTCAAGAACAGAAAGTAATTTAAAAAATATAAGAACAGAATTATCTGAAGAATAGTGTTATGACATCTTTTGATGAAGGACTATAAAACTATAAAGAGAAATTAGTACATAATATTTATTATTTAATAATATGTACATATATAATGTGTTTGGTTTATTAATTATGCATACATAACAATAATTATAGCTACAGAGATATGATAAAAAAGACATCATGTTAGATGTTGTATTGTTATATCATATCATCATATTACACTACATTATGTTAACTTTTCATAAAGTATTCTGTTATGTAAAATATTTACTAATAATTATAATCATTCCAGTAAAATAATTACATTTTAACATGCCTCCTTTAAAGCTATTACATTTGTATTTTAGCTTTCCAATTTTGAGATTTTATGCATTAAATATCTTTTTAACATTCCCTCATTCCATGATTAAAATCAAATAGTCTATAGCCCGACAAAATGGAGAAGAGTAATGTGTAAAAAGACAAGAAAGGTAAAAATGGGATAAATATACAAAATATGTATGGAATAGAGGCAAAGTAATCTTAGAGGGAAGGCCATTGCAGTGAGGAAAAGTGGAAAAGGCCTCCTGCAAAAGGTAGAATTTGAGCTCAGTATTGAAGGAAGCCAGAGAAACACAAAGGCAGAGAGGCCAGAAGAAAACATTCTGGGAGAGCCAGTACAAAGTCAAGAGTCTGGGAGTCAGAACATCGAATGCCATGAGAAAGGGACAGCAATTAGGCCAGTGTACCTGGATCTATGAGTGATCAGAAGGAAGTGAAAGTAAGAATACTGGGAAGGTAAGAAGGGACCAGGATATGAACAAATTTTTTTTTAATTAAAAAGTATTTATTTTCTCTCCTTTCCATTCCCTCCCCAACCAATTTAGAAGGAAAAACAAAGAACAAAACTCTTATAACAAAGTCCATGATTCTGATTGGTTTTGGCTTCTTAAGATTTAGCAGTGAAGAACTTAAATGGGTCCAAAAGAGTACCACACAAAGATTTTTAAAAGGTTGAACAAGAAAACTTAACGTGAAAAAAGTTAAAGGAGCTAGGATTATTTTGCTCAGCTGTTAAGTTGTGTCTGACTCTATATGACCCCATGGACTTCTTGTCCATAGGGTTTCTTGGTAAAGATACTGCAGTGGCTTGCCACTTCCTTCTCCAGCATGCCTCCATTTTACAGATGAGGAACTGAAGCAAGTAGGGGTAAGCAACTTGCCCAGGCTCACACAGCTAATAAGTGTCTCAAGCTGAATATGAACTTATATCTTCCTGACTTCAAGCTTGGAGCTCTATCCACTGCACCACCTACCTGTCTCTAGGAGTATTTAGCCTGGGGAGATTTTATAATTTTATTCTCATATGGCATTAAACAGTATGGTAATCCACAGCCTTTAATTTCCAGTGAAACAACTAAAGCACAAAAATTCAAAATGCATTATTTAATTTACACATGAAACATTGCAATAGAATTAATTACAAAACAGGTCTATGGAAGCTCCTTCTCTAAAGTCTTTAAAAATAATACAGATTTCTATTAGTCTTGAATAATTAATTCAGATCCTACTAAGGAAGACAGAATCACAGAATAACTTTAAGGAGTTGAAAGTGATCTTCGAAGTACAGAACAACTAATTGTAACATAAACTGTTTCTGCAGTGTTACTGACGAGCAGCTGACCCTTCTCCACTGGCAGAGATCTCAGCATCTCATGAAGCAGCCCAGTCCATTTACAGACAGTATTTATTTTGTTTGAAAGGTTTTTCTCATATGCTAAGCTAAAATCTAACTCTTCTAAAACTATAAACAAGCCTAATTTCCCTTTACCATGAGACTACTTCAAACATTTGAAGAGGGTGAACATAACATCCTTTCCTACTTAGTCTTCTCTAAACTAAGCATACCCATTTCATTCACATGATTTCTAGTCCTTTTCACTAGCTTAAAGTACTTCTAAAATTGTGGCCCACAATACTGAATGAATATTGTCTATAACATAAAAATCCCTCCTAGTATCTGATTTTATAATCATCTCTTACTGCAACTAAATACAGACAGGCTATTAAAATGCATAAGTTAAGGTCTCTCAATAATAAATCATTTTTATCTCACAATTACAGAAATTCATACCTAATGAAACTCTATGATCCTATGTCCTCTCTGCCAAAAGATTACAGTGATTATAACAAATTAAGTTAATAACTCACTAAAAACAGGTTTATGGAAATTTTAGCGTGCTTCTGAAAAATTATGGGAAGCAATGAAGGCTTCAAAAGTATCCTGACTGCAGCCACCATCTTCTTTGTAAGGGAGAGTTCTATAGAAAAATGACTTGGGTTATACTGATATAAGGAAAACCATAGAGAAAATATTAACATACTTTAGAATCTTTATATACACATATGTATGTTGCATACACACATTTCTCTACATAGAAAAGACACTTTAAGACAGATGAGAAAAAACAATACTAACCAAAATCTTGACAGGAAAATAAAATGAGTGATTTCTAAAAATATAGCACTGTTTAAATGAGCTACATTGAGGTAACTGTGGAGGTGAGTTTCACAAAGCAGCTCAGGGATTGTAAGAGTAGAAGGTAGAAAAGGAGAGCATTTCAGTCACTGGGACCAGTCAGGGACCAAAAAAATAAAAAAAATTTAAAAATGGCACTGAATTGAGAGACAGAGCTATGTATGTGAAGCACTACAAATAAACTAATATGGTCTGATAATATAATGTGAGGAGAACAGAGTACAAGAGGACTGGAAAGATTGGAAGGGACAAAGTTGAAAAGAGCATTAAATGTCCAAAAAGGATTATGGAGGTGGGTGTGTGGTGTGTTTCATATTTGATCCTAAAGGTAACTGAGAGACACAGGAGATTTTTTGTTTTGTTTTTGTTTTGGGGGGGAGGGGGTACGCTACAGGGGTTACTCTTGAGGGAAAATCACTTTGGTAGTTATTATGGACTGGAGTGCTGACAGATCTGAGACAGGGAGATCAATTAGAAAGCAAATATTGCAACTTCTGGGACCCACTTTTCATTTAAAAACTATTCACATACCATCTTCTGCATGAAACCTTTCCTGATTTCCACAACTTCTAGTGTCCTTTCTCAAACTGCCTTGTATGCCACTAACTGTATATATTTATATTTATGAACTTTATGTCTGTGCTGTATATTTTCCATATACTTCTTGTCTTCCCATTAGAATGTAAGCTTTTTCCAAGTAGGATTATTTCATACTTTGTAACTTGTATCCCCATCATTTAGCACAGTACCTGGAACACGTGGCACATGTTGAATGATGGATAGTGTCAGTCAGTCAAAAAGTTGATAAACATTTATTAAGTGCCTACTATGTGCCATTCACTGTACTTAAGCACTGGAATAGTGCTTAAGAATGGTTTTAGGGAGAAAAAAACCTGTTGGCCCCTCAAAGAACTCACAGTTTAATGGGGAAAACAACATGAAAACAAGTATGTACAAACAAGCTATACAGGATAAATTAGAAATCAGCAGAGGGAAGGCAGAATTAAGAAAGTTTAGGAAAGGTTTCCTACATAAAGATTTTAGCTGAGACTTAAAGGAATCCAGAGAAACCAGGAGGTTGAAAAGCAGAAGAGCTTTCCAAGCAGAGGACAGCCAATGAAAGTGCCCAGAGTCAGGAGATAGAGGGTCTTGTTCAAGGAACAGTGAGACCAGTATCACTGGATCTCAAGTCCAAGGAGTTAGGGAGATAAGGGTGTAAAAAGGCTGTAAAGGAGGGGTGGGGTACAGAACTAGGTTATGAATGGCTCTGAATGACAGAGGATCTTTTTATTTGATCCTGCAAGATGACAGGAAGCCACTGACACTTAGTGAATAGGAAGGTGATATGGTTACACCTGTGTTTTAGGAAGATCATGATGAAATCTGAGGGAAGAATGGATTGGAGTGAGGAGAGATTTGTGGCAAGAAGACCAACAAGAAGGCTTGAGGTGATAAGAGTCTACACCAGAGTGGTAGCAGTGTCAAAGGAGAAAGGAAATCTGAAAATGCAAATACCTTACTGGTCAAAGCATTGACAACATAGATATAACCTTTTAATTACATTTTTGTTACTTTCACCCAACCTAAAAATACTTTAAAGAAATAAAAGGAGTGCCATCCAACCAAAAAATACTTTAAAGAAAAGGAGTGTATTTCTTCATTTTTTTTAAAGTTCAGAGAACATAAAAACTATTTTTTCCCAAATAATATTTCTTCATAGACATATATAGAACTAATGAATTCAAAACTTTACCTCAGTATTCCATATTAGGATACAGATTCCACATTAGGATACATATACAGATAAACTGCACTGAAGTCATGTGCATTTGATTTTGAAAATATGTTTCCCTTTCACATTGCAGGATATTAGAGTCACGGCACCTCGCAATCTGGAAAGCCTCTGTAAAATTTTTTTGGCACTCCCTTTGTACTAGAGAAGAAGTCTGAATTATGATATAAAAAGATAAAATGTTGATATTATAAAATATTATATGTATATTTTATGCACTTTTGAGTTTCTAAACTTTTTCTGTGTCATCTGTAGCTTCCGCAAAACTCTAAAATTCCCATTTAGTTTCTTATGCCGACCCACAATATATCAAAACAACAAAGGGGAAAAATGTGATGTGGAAGAGATCACTGTATTTTGTATATTGAACTATATTGAAATAAGCATAAAATACTCCTTACCTGAATTTCTAACAACATTCTGTCAATCTTATTTTGCTGGCTGGCTATTACCTATATAAATAAAACACAAATCAGTCTATAAGTTTGACCAATGCAACACTTCTAGACCTCATTCTCTTTTATGAAAACTTTAGTGGGATTATTCCCATTGCTAAAGGGTATATTTGCCTAGCAAGGTCAAATAGCTCACTTAAAAATATCATTTTAATCATATTCAATTTTAAACATCTTTTTAGAAATACATTTAATGCATAAAGTTGTATCATCTTTTTAAATTACTAATATTTGTGATCTCTAATTCTATCCCAAGTTTAACTTGGTATAAAGAACTCAAGATTACAAAGAAAATCATTGTTCTTTTGTTTAAGCTGAGAAATAATAGTTTTTTTAAAAAAATGAAACATCCTATATAATTTCCTCTGCATGTAGAAAAGCTGATTAAATGTTCCTTTCCAAAGAAGAAATAATGAAACAAGACATTATCTAATATAATTACATTAAGTAAACAGGACTTTTCACTTCCCACTCCCACCATTAAGGCTACAGAACAGAACTCATTTTTCATATTTATAGTGGAAATGTATTGCCTGACCTTACTGGCATTCTCATTTTGTTCTTTGAGGTGATCGTTTTCATCCTGAAGTTGTTTTGCATCTATTATGGGTAGCCGGATACCATCTTCAAGACACCTTTCAACTTTCTGTTGTAAACTGTATCAAAATTTGAAAGACAATTAATGAAAATAAGATTAAATGGCTAATTTTAGTCAAGATCTCTAAAACAAGGTACTTCTTTAATGACTATGGCATTTTGTACAATTGTAGAATCTAGAGCTATGGACAAGGAAAGAAATGCTATATTTGGCTCCAAATATACCAATACAAGGCAGCTAAAGTCCTGAAATTCTTACATGCTTATTATGCTTCTTAGCATTCTCTTTCATTGTGGCTTTCCTGTTTTCTTTTCTGGACAGCTAGATGGTATAATGAATAGAGTGACAGGCCTTGAGTTGGGAAGACCTGAATTCAAATCTGACCTCAGACACTTCCTTACTCTGTGACCCTGGGCAAGTCACTTAACCCTATTTGCCTTGGTTTCTTTATCGGTAAAATGAGCTGGAGAAGAAAATGGCAAACCACTCTAGTATCTCTGCCAAGAAAACCCCAACTGGCATCATGAAGAGTCAGACACAAGTGAAAAATTACTTAAACAACAACAGATTTTCTTTTCTAAATACCATTTCTAATTCCCAAATATCTTCTCCTTCATCTGTACCTATAATTCCTACCCAGTCTTCTAGTTTTCAAGACCCATTACAGGGAGCAATTCTTCCATACTGTTGCCACTGATTGGTGAATATTAGTTGTGTGCAACTCTTTGTGACCCCCTGTGGGTTTGTCTGTTTATTTTTTTGACAAAGCTACAGGGATGGTTTCTATTTCCTTCTCCAGCTCATTTTACAGATAAGGAAACTGAGGCAAACAGGGTTCAGAGACTTGTCCAGAGTCACACAGCTAGTGTCTGGGGCCACATTTGAACTCAGGTCCTCCTGACTTTAGAGCTAGCACTCTATCCACACTGCACCACGTGGCTGCCCAAAAATTCTTCCATGAGGTCTTCTCTAATCCCCTTGCCAAAGTGATCTCTCCCCTCCTATTAATTCTACTTTTTTCTCAAGTTCCAATTTGTTTTTGTTTTTAATCTTCATGTTTTCTCTCTCCCAGAACCATAAGCTCTTTAAAAGGAGGGACCAAATCTTAAATATCTAGCCTTCTCCCTAAGCACATTGTTTTGTGACAGCTAAAAGAATTAATCCATCTGCATTACTCATATTATATATCCTGGTAATTTTTCCTCCTACCTAACTCACAGATGTGGCATTTTCTGCCACATCAAAGCAGAAAGAGGATGGAGATAAAAAAGGAGCAAGGAGGTAGCCCACTTTAATTGAATAAGGTGCTATTCTTGGCTTTGCTACTTAGCTAGATGGACAAGTCACTTCTCTCTGACCGCAAAATGAGGGGCTATATACTGGGGAAGTAGGGGAAAGAGAAATGGTGCCATTGACAAGGGTGAGTAGTAAAAAACAAAAAGAAAAAAAATGGGTCCAGTCTCTTGCTCTAGCTTGTAATTCTTTGTATGTGTGTTGCAAAAAACTACAAAGAAAGAGGAAAATGTATGTTCTATTCTAGCTTGTGGTGAATTATCCTCCCTTTTCTTCCAGTCAATATAGCAAACATGAGTCTGTCTTCTTTTCCAGGAAAGAAAAAAAAAGTGCCATACCTAGAATCTACAAGATAAATAATGGTCCTGAACTGCACGATGACATCAGCAAGTTAACTTGGCCAGGTCACAAATAAAAAGTGATAAAAAAGAATGCACCAGAGAGATTTTATTTATTGCTAACATAGTACTGCTTTGTAGTTACTTTATCACCTGTCATAAAAAGGTTTCCACAATCAGTCTAAAAATAAAAAGCATAAATACTTTATGTTCTAGAATGGCTTGCTTCCCCCTAATTTACTATCAAGAGACTACTTATAAGTATTTTTAGGATTTCAAAAGAAACAAAATCCATTACCAAGATTAAAGCTTTTCAGATGAATAGGGTAGTTGGCTGTGAGAATGAAAAAAAAAAGTCTGTACCAAGAAGCATGGTCAAAGAGCCCTGGATTTGGAATCAGAGGCTGGAGGTTCTAATTCTGACTGTGTTACTTATTAGCTGTATCAAGGTAGGCAAGTTGCTTCCCTTCTCTGAGTCTCAGTTTCCTAATCTGTAAAATGAAAGGTTTGACTAACTGATCCTCAATATCTCTTCCAACTACAAAATTCTATAATCCTATTTTTCTAAAGGCAGAAAAATTTTTGAATATTTTTATATAATGAGTAGTATGACTAAGCAATTGTTTTGATTAACAAAGATATTCACTCTATATTATTGTTTCAGTGGCTTTTTAATATATTTATTCTAATAAGCAATTTCACAACATAGATCTTTAAACACCAAGAGATTTCAAGAGTATTACTTAAATGAATTAGTTGTTGAAATTGATCAAGGGATCTGAGAAATATTTAAGGAAACCAAATAAGCCACATAATTGATATTTCATCATACAACTGACAAGTCACAGACTATCACAGAATTTTAGAACCGCAAGAAGCCTTAGAGGTCATCTAAGTCCAACACACTCATTTTACAGATGAGGAAACTTAAGGTTTAGGAAGTTCATTTGACCAAGTTCACACACTTTTAATGGTAAAGCAAAAATTAGAACACAGGCCTTTGGAAGCCTAAATAGTGTTCCTCCCAGTATGCCATGCTGTTTCTTCTATTTGTGCAAATTTAGGAAAGTTACTGACAGACTGTAGATTGTAAACACTTTCCCATTTCAGAAAAAGATGGTGGATTCCATGATCATTGCTGAATACTACTAAATAAAACAGATCTACACAAAAAGGGTACTTCAGTTTACACTCAATTCAGAGACTAACAAAATAGTTCCAACAAGATACAAAATCATTTAAACACATCCAAATGTGTTCATTCAACAAATGAGTACAAAACTCATTTCAGTGGGAATCAAAAAGAAGAATAAGACAAGCTCTTTGGCTTCACCGATCTTACATTTTAATAAGCATGATAATGCATATACTTTATTACTTATGAAAATGAAACAAGATACAAGTACTGTGTTCAGAAGCAGTAGAGAGTACTTAGGGAAGAGGGCAGGGAAAGCTTCAGGAAGAGGCAACATTTGAACTTATTGTAAGTTATACTAGAAAGTACGATGAGAGATTTAATCATGTTCCCAAGACCCCACAGCTCTCTAACCTTCAAAAAAAAGCAGGGTAGTTCGGGAATTATGGACAGCTATACAGAACAACCATAGCTGAATCTATGAGGAAAAGAAGAAAGAATCCTGATCAGAGAAAATCCTTATGAAGCAACTGTAAGCCTTAATGTGTTTGCTCAGTACCCCTTCCCCAATGGGTTCCATGTTCCCATTGCAAGGATAGATGCAGGCTTCTATCCTTGTGCTTAGAACTGGCAAGTACTCATCCCCTCTCCATCTGCAGCAGAGACTTTGCTGGCACACTTCCACCCTCTGCCCATCCTAAGGCAGGCAGAGAGAGAGTGAGAGAGAGAGAGAAACTAATTCAGCCTAGGTTTGAGGAGGAAAGGAGACTTTCTTACTAAAGCTAAGGATATTGAAGGACAGCTGGGCCCAGCCCTGTTTGCTCAGAGGATACCCTGTATACTCCATTCAGTAAATGACCCTTGAACCTCACAAACATAAAAGAACATAAGAGAAGTGTAAACATAGTGCTCTGTTGCTCTCTAATTTTAATTACCTATGTATGTGTCAAATGACCCTTTCTTATATCTAATAGAAGCAGTTTTACAAAACAGCAAAGAGAAAAAGGATCAGAAAGTAATAGGTAATGTTTGTTTTTCGTTTTTGTGAGGGAAGAAAACCCTGGAACAGGGTTTTAATATAAACTATTAAATCTTGTTGTATATTTTGGAATAGCACATGCCCTACCCCAACCATCAAGAGAGAACATTGTGCAAACTTTCCAAACATTGAAACTGCTTACCCTTGCCAGGCTAACATTTGCAAAAACAGCTAATCTTGCAAAATCACCTTGAAACGCCCAGATCCTGTTTTTGAGCCCAGAGTAAACAGCTATTAAAAGACTTCCCACCTTTTCTTGTCTCCTGGCAAACCTGTGTAACTGCCTTTGTTCTTTGTTGCTAGGGAAGATTTCCTTGAATAGATTATGCACCCTGAAGCCCAGCCAATGGGATAAGGGGACAGGGGGTTAGGGAGGGGGAGGAGCTCAAGTTAGGGAATAAGAAAACTTGCTTTCTCTAAACAATTTGCACTTCCTGGCCAGTGCTTCTCTATCGAGGAGAGGCATGCCCTTTCTCATGAGAAAGTAATAAAACTCTTTTCTGCTTTTCAATAACTCAGCCTCTGAACATTTTATTTGAGTAGTGGTCTCTGTCCCACACAATAGGTAATGTTTGTTTTTTGTTTTAAAGGCTCATGTACCAAAATTTTCATGAGAAAACCCCTAAATAAAAGTCCAGAACACAATTAAATAAATCAGCACAAAAGCTCTTAGAATCAGAAGGATGACTGCTCAGAGAATACAAAACTCTCAACAATTAACAAAGCAAACCACAGGGGAAGAATGCCTGATGAAATATAGAATCATCCTACCACCCACCACTACCCATTTCCAATTCTAGGGCCCAGATGAACCAGTCTAATCCCTCTCCCACTGCTCAATCCTTTAAATACTTGAATAAAGTCACCAAATTTCCCCCTCAGTCATTTCTTCTGAGTTAACATTGTGGTTTTCTTCAAGTGATCTTGTTATGACGGACTTAAAGTCCCTTCACCATCTGGGTCACTCCTTCCCCTGAATATACTGCAACTTATCAATTCTCCTCCTAAAAAGTAGCATCAAGAACTCAACACTACACTCAAGTGTGGTTGTTCTAATCAGGACAGAGAACAGCAAGATCATCTTCCTTATTCTGCCACCTGTTCTATTAGTGCTGCAATAACTTTCTTAGCTGCTTCATCAAAGTGCTGGCTCTTATTGAGCTTGCAATTCACCAAAACTCCCAGGGCTTTTTCTACACAAACTACAGTCCAGCCATATCTCCCACATCTGGTCTTGGGGTTTAAAAAAAGCAACAACAACAACAACAACATAAAACCAAACATACAAAAATCATACAAGTGTAGTCCTCCAGCTTTATCTCTATTTAATATTATTAGATTCATCCCCTTATTCTAGCTGGCTGCTATCTTTCTGGATGTCTATTGTCATCAAACACATTAACCCCTTCCAGATTCATATTTCTGACAACAAAACAATTAAAAATAAATCCCTGTGGCATGTCACCAGAAAGCTTTCAATTGGCATTAATCTTTTAATTGCTACTTTTTGGGTCCAGTTATTCAAGCAGTTTCTAATCTACCTTACCATAGGAGCATCTGGCCTGTATCTCTCCACCTTACCCACAAGGATATCATAAGAATCTTTGACGAATGCCTTATTAAAAATTCAGGCATGCAGCACTCCTCTGACCTACTAGTCCAGTTACTCTGTCTAAAAGATATTCAGGCATAATCTGCTTTTTTTGTAAACTCATGCTAGCTCTTAATGATCACCAGTTCCCTTTTTAAGTGCTTATGAGCCAATCCTTTAATAATACACTCTAGAGTTCTGCCAAGAACTAAAATCAAACCTCTTACTATATAAAGTCTATGTCTTGCCTTTTCGAAAATCTTGACATACGCTTGTAAATCAGCCTTGAGACATTGCTCCTGACCAAGTTTAAATACCACCAAAAGCAGCTCAGCAATAATACAAAGGCTATTGGAATAGTTTTCTGGCCTGGTTACTGATCTGAATTACATTAGCCAGGCACTATTTCATCATATCCTCATTTAACTTGGGCCTTTCTTACCCTACAGCTATGTTGGTTTTGTTATAAGCATTATAACAGTATAACTTGGGGTTATCAAGAGAAGGAATAGACACAGCCCTGAAAGAAATCAAGTAGTTTACAGAAGACTTGCAGCAACCCTTAAACAGATGAATGTCCCAGTTGCTTTAACCACATAAAGAAAGTGAAATGAAACTAAGATGAACTGTGTAGTAAGATATGTGATTGGGTCAAGGTTGAAAGGATGAAGGTAGCAGACACCAAGTAAAATGAGTGTGCGTTAGACTGCTGAGATGGATATAAAAGAATAAATTTGTAAGAAATGGAATCCTTATTTTCTCTGGTGAATGTCTAGTATCTCCCAAACCAGTGAAATAAGAAGCCTGTGTTAGCACTAGAAAAGTTATAAATGTTAAATTAATGTTTCTTTTCTCTGCTAAACCCAAACTCTTGACAGCACAACAATGTTGCATTCTCATCTAAAACATTATGCAGATGTCAGGCTATGAAACGCTGGCCAATGATAGAACTTTCCATAATAAAATCATACCCCTCTTTAGTAATGTCATATCTTTACCATTAGTACATAAGCAGTGATTATTTGTATTTGAATTACTTTATCCAAAACTTCAACTTTCATATTTCAAGATAATCTAATCCCACACTTTAAAAAAAAAGACACATTTCATACCTTTGCACAGTGGTAACCAACTCCTTTTCTTTCTTCCGTTGACAAGCCAGCTGCACCTCTTTCTCTTGATACTGAGTTCTGATCTCTCCAAATTTTTTCTCCATATCTTTTACAGTCTCATGTAAGTTCCTGTTTTTTTCTTCTAAAATCTGCAGCTAAGAGAAAGTGTTTATACCACAAAAGTTAGGATATAATTTAATAGAAGACTATTAGAAAAACTTAATTTTAATTTAATTTTCTCATGAATATTATAATGTGCATACTAGTTTCACTTTTCATTTCTTAGAATTTCAGGTATGCTTCATAGGAAAGGGAGCATAAAGTATGAGAGGTGGAGTCAAGGCTGGGGAGAAAGAAGAAACAAGAAGCAAGAGAACTTATGGCAGAGAGATAGAAAAAACCTGAGAAATTTCATCTACTTGGATCTCTACCATCACCACTTTTCATACAGCCTCCCATGGAATTTTCTTAGCTTCTTGATTCTGTCTTATCCTCTAACAGTTATACAGCTGTCTAAACCAAAGCATATGTCCTCACTCCAAACATACTCCATACATACAACACTCACACCTTCTTGTGAAAAACATTATTTCAGGGCCAGCTAGGTGGCACAGTGGTTAGAGGTCCAGCCTTGAAGTCAGGAGAACTTGAGTTCAAATCCGGCCTCAGACACTTGATACTTACTCGCTGTGGGACCCTGGGCAAGTCACTTAACCCCATTACCAAAGCTTAAAACAAACAAACAAACAAACAAACAAAAAAGCCCATACGCACATGTGCATATACACATATAAAATTTCACTCTGGAATAAAGGACTGGGTACGGTTTAGGAGGAAGGCAAAGTGAAGAACAATGACAAAGGGCTTGAGAATAGTGGGGATTGGGATTGCCTCGAATTATTTTTATAATTTTTAAATTTATATAATACATTGGAAATTCACCCATTCACCCATTATAGGAGATAGAACAATTTACCTCCTTTTATATAACATTTAAGGTTCATTATTTCCAATGATGAACATTCAAGACAACAATCTATATTATCCAATAATCCAGGTCAGTGTCGCTCAATGATTGTCAGAACATTCTGAAGCAACAATTTGGGGAAGGAACAGAAGCAGACAGATATAAGCTAGGTGGAATAGTGACAAAGGACCAGACAACTGGCTGGAAATAAATTACTTGTTTGGGATAGTATTAGCAAAAACTAAAGAAAGGGTCATGAGAATAGTTTTAAAAAATCAGGGCTACTGAGAGGAAAAAAAATAAATCTGATATTCTTCGGAATGGAATTGGGGCTCAACAAGAGCCTTATGAGCATTTGTGCCATATAAGTTCATTTGAAACAAAGCAAATTTTTGATAGGATGGAAATACTATGCATGCAAATGTGTGAAGCCCATGATATATTTTAATCCAACAGGAATTAAACAAATGAGGTTAACTCACAACCAGACAAAAATATTTCACTTCAATATTTAAATCCATTAATTCTCAAGAAGCCAACTTAAAGCCTAGTTTCAAAAAAAATGAGTAAAAAAACATAGTTTCAATATTTTATTGTTCATCCCAATAAAAAGCAAGAGTCCCTCTTTACCTGTTGGCTCTGGTTCTGCACATCATCCAGAGTTGGCAGGTCAGCCAAGTACTTTTCCAAGGTCTCAATTCGTCTTTGTTTCTCTTTGTTTTGTTCAGATTCCTTCTGACATTTCTTTTTCAGGCTACTAATATATCTATCTCTGGTTTTCAGCTAAAAAAGAGAATACATGTTTAATTGGTGTTTATATGTGATAAAGTTGCATTAGAATAAATCTATGTTTCAATATTCAAAATCACTGGATCCAATAAGTCCACTTATTTTACTTAACAATAAAAACATTAATACAACAATTAATACGTGTGTGTATGTGTACATATAGATACCTTTACTTACTTTAAGCCAACAAATGCAGAAGCTAAATCAATAAGGTAACAAGTATTTGCACAAACGTGTATGTTTTGTATAGTTGCATATAAAATTTGCATATGTATTTTGCACATGTATACCAGTTATATAATACTATTTGAATACAATCATTTCTGAAAATTCAATAATCAGCAATAGATGACACAATAATTAAGATCAATAACAGAGATGAGACAGAGAAAAGATAACTAAATGATAATGTAAAAGGAGGTGATCACTCCTACCACCTAAAGCTCCTAAGGTATTTCTGTGGTTTTTAAAAGCTTATCTATCTACCCTCCAAAAAATAGTCTCTACCTATACTCAACAGTCTGGTATTTTGTTTTGGTTTGTCTTTGCTCAAAAAGGCAAATAATCCCATTTTTAGATCACTCTGCTACCAAGTTTTTCTCATATGAAGCTGAAATTTGCCTCCCTATAATGGCAGGTAGGTAGTGCAAGAAAGAGAGCACTGAATCTGAAGTCAAGAAGACATTAGTTCAAATCCAATCTCAGCCACTTACTAGCTGTGTGACTCTGGGCAAGTCACTCAACCTCAGTCAGACTTAGTTGCCTCATCTGTAATATGCTTTTATTAATAGAACCTACCTCCCTCACAAGGTTGTTATGAGGACAAAACGAAATAATATTTTAAAGTGTTTTACAAACCTTAAAGTGCCATATAAATGCTAGTTATTGCTGTTGTCATTATTACTGTATCTATGACTTCCATCCTCTGATCCTATATTCTATCCCTTGAGTCTAAATAGAATAAATCTAATCTCTTTCACAAAACAGACCTTTGTCTTCTGAAAGCTAACTATCACAGAATCAAAGGATCTCAGAGTTGTAAAGGACACTGAAGAACATCAAGGCAACCCCTACACAAATAACAATCCTCTCCAAACCACAGCCAAAAAGTAATAATTCAGCCTATAACTGAAGGTGAATGGGAACCTATTATCTCCTCAGGTATGTCATTCAACTTTTAGACAGCTCTAATTGTTAGGAAATTTTTCTCTGTAGTAAGTTGAAATTTATTTCTTTCTCATTTCTATATGATGTTTTTATTTCAGTTTTCCTGGGCTAAACAGAACAAATCTAATCACTTGTCCACATCACACCCCTTTATATGTATATATTTTTTGTAGGAGAAAAGATCTGGCTAGTAACCTAGCCTAATCCTGGGCAAATTTCTTCTTGATTCCTATTGCTGTTACTTCAAATTAGGTGCACTATCATCCATTTATATCAATCGATCTTCAAACTGTACTGCATTATAAAGGACTCTCTAAACTCTACTGGCTCTGCAGTCTGTCAGAACAGTGCTGACCCACAAGGAGTTTACATTCTACTGGATGATCTGAGGTGGGAAAGAAAATTAAAAATGGCAAAAGATCATGAAGTTTCCTAATAGAGGTAGCAGTTAAACTAAGCCTTGAAAGAAGCTAAGGATTCTAAGAAGTGGACCTAAAGCATGAATGTGATCACAGCACAATAGGGATTTGAGACATGGAATGTTCAGTGCAGGGAACAGCAAGTAATCTTGGATGGCTGGATATGAAATCAGTCTGTACGGGTAGGCTGAAGCCAGTGACTGGAGGACTTTTTTTTAAACATATCAAAGTGAAGACTTTATATTTTGCCAATGAAGATTAATGAATGGGAAAATTACTTGATTAGATTTGTGGCAGGTTATTTCTGTCAGCTGTGTAGAAGATGTAATAAACTGGTAAAAGTAGAAACAAAAGATCTCTTAGGACGCTATTGGAGTAGTCTAGGTGACAGGTGATGAAGGTGGTATATAGTAGCCATGAGGGGAAAGAAAGTGAAATTTGCAAGAGATATTGTAGTAGTGAAATAGTCAAACTATGGCTACTAATTGGCTACTGGTACTGAGGGAAAGATAACAATCAAGGAAGTCTGGGAAATCATGAACCTGAGTAAATGGAATGAATGTGCTGCCCTAACAAGAAATAGGAAAATTTGGTAGAGAAGCAGTTCAGAAGAGAAGATAATGAATTTCATATTAGATATGTTAAATTTGAGATACCTGCAGTACATCAAGGTAAATAAACAGATAGCTGGTGGTACAGAACTAGAGACCAAAAGAAAGATTAAAAGACTGAATGCTGGATATATGGATTTTGGAATAACCTACACAGAGATGATTCCATGGGAACTGATGGTGTCATCAAGATGGAGGTTTGTAGATGGAAAAGAAAAATCTATCACACTGTTTGTTGGCTCACATGAAGGTTAAAATCTACTTAAAATACCCAGTCAGACCTTTTTCACATGAACTATTGTCTAGGAATGCCTCCTCACCCTTGTACTTGTGAAATTGACTTTATTTGGGGGTCTAAGTATAAGACTCCACATTCATATAAACTAAATTTGGCATATCATTCCAGTCTGTCACAGTTTCTGGATTCTATCGCCTAACATGTTAAACTAATCTTTCTTTATCTGCAAATCTGACAATGACATGTATTAAGTCACTGACAAAAAGGTTAAATAGGAATTGATGAGATGACATAGAGAGAATACAGAGAAGAAGCCAAGGACACTCCATTCAAGAGTTTCCGCTACATACTCTTCATTAAAAAATAGCATGAAAAATTCTTTGCTGAAATATAGTTATATACTTTGTCTACAGCATACAACTTATCTACCAGTTTATCAGATCTCTCCAGTCAAAAATGGAAGGGAACTTAGTTTGGCATGAAATGTTCTTGATGAAGGAATGCTACGTCTTTGTAATCACCGTATTTCCCTTCTAGATGACTAAAAAAAAGATTCTTTTAAAATTGCATCATAAGATTTTTTGTTTTTAGGCAGTTGGGGTTAAGTGACTTGCCCAGGGTCACACAGCTACTAAGTGTCAAGTGTTTGGTCTGAGGCCAGATTTGAACTCAGGTATTCCTGACTTCAGGGCCTGTGCTCTATCCACTGTGCCACCTAGCTGCCCCCATCATAAGATTTTTAAAGGAACTGAAAACAGCCTCACTGGCAAATGGTTTTGTGACCTATAGTGTCCATCACTGTTGTGCAAATCTAGACATTATCCAGCTCTGTGGTACCTTTCCTTTTTTCCATGATATTCAAAATCACTGACAGTGGCTCAGCAATAATATCCTTCAGTTCTTTCAGAACCCATGAATGAAGTTTATCTAAGCCTGGTTACTAATAACTCAAATTTTAAGTTCTTTCCATTTTAAGGGAAGCTATTTTAACAAAGTAGGGTTCAGGTAAGGGAACCAGTTTTTCTTCCATGCTTTTCAGAAAACATTTCTGTTTGATATGCCCAGGAGATAAAGAATCCAAGGAGTTTCTCTATTGTTACTGATGTCAGTCCTCATAGGAAAAACATTATTGGAGATTCACCCTACAAGATAGATCACAATTTGCCCCATATGTTGATTAGTAAAACTGTATTTAGCCGATTGGTCATAAAAAAAACCTTGAGTTAAAAGCAGCATGTAGATGATGAAACCATTAAGTGCACAGACTATTGCTTCTACTCTCTAGTTACAATGTGTACACCAAAGAAAATATATGATAGGACCTTCTAAGTACAGATATATAGGTTTACTTGTGTAGGTGTGTATTACTTCATGGAATGCAAAAAAAGAGAGAGAAAATAGCTTCAAGTGTACCATGAAGGTAAAGCCATGTTGTGGGGGAGCCCAAACCTGGTTGAATGCAGAGACTACACTGATGCCTAAATTCACTATAACTTAAGAAGTTTAAAAGAAAGAGCAATGGTTCAACATCAGGAAACCTGACTCTAAAAATCAACTCTGCTACTAATTATCTATGTAGCATTAGGCAAGTCATTTAAAGTTTCTGTAGGCTAACCTTATTCAGATATAAAGTAGGGATATCAACACACAGGGTTAGGATAAAGATGAAACAAGATCAGAAATGTGCAAGTGCTATGAAAAAAAAGTTTAAATCCTATACAAATAGGATAAAAGGAAAATAGATTTAGTACTGGAAGATATTTTAGTGCTCACCTAGTACAAGTCACTCATTTTACAGATGAACAGACTTGAGGCCCAGAGGTAAAGTTTACACATGTATCAAGTGGCAGAGATAAGATCTGAATTTAGGAAGTTTAAATCAAAATATACTGTCCTTTTCACTATGCCGTATTGTCTTCTTATCTCAGAAAATAAGAGTTTCTGCGTGGCCAATGATTTCAAATGGATCTAAGCAAATCTTACACATGGAAAACTTAGCCTGATTTCATTCTTCCTGGAAGCAAGACAGAGATGGAAAATGATGACAACAGAGGGGACAGATTATTATTCCTATAAAGGAGGAAATAGTTTAAGGGTCAAATTTTGGCCCTGGCAACCAACTTTAAAAATGATACATACTGGTTACAAAGAAATAATTTAATATTTCTATATGTCCAGGGTGTACCAAAAGTCTTAGTGTAATTTTAAGTTTTAATAGCTTAAATATTGTACATTCAGCACATTTTATAAAATAAGCCTACTATATGCTCATATATTACATAAACACATAAATATGTGGGTTCTTACTCCCAAAGGAAGATTTCAAGATTTCTCTCAGGTCTTGGAAACCAACAAGGCAAATCAATTCAGTTTAAGCAGCCACTACACTAAGAGACAAGAAAATAAAACACGGGAAAAAACGTTTACCTTCTCTTCCAGCTTCTTCTTCTCTTCATTAGATTTGCTTGCACTTTGCTTGAGAAACTCATTGAGTTGTGAAAGCTCTTTTTCGGCAGAAGCAAGCTTTCGTTCAAGTTCCTCATGTTCAGGGCGAGATATTGATCGGTCAGGAAATGGAGCCTGAAGTGAAGCATTATCATATTGTGGTTGCTAGATGAGAAAAACAAAAGAGGGGTTAAAAAGATTTATTTATTATTGTCTTAATGACCCAAAATGAATCTGGAAAGAAAAATACAAATCAGTTTTATCTTATGCTTTAGTATATTCATATAGAACTCAGAGTTATATGAAAAATGGACACAATGAATGGGAACAGTTTTTCTCTCTGGATGCAATGTTAAACAGTACAAATAATTCAACAGAAACAAATGTAAGATACAAATATTTCTTCAAGATAAATCATAACTCCTAACGGAACCTCACTAGAGTATGAATCCGTAGAAGCTAAACTTCAGAGTCCAACATCTGGATTCAGACAACTTGGGCTCAAAATCTGGCTGTTATTCACTAACCATGTGATGTTGTGCAAGACAATTAGCCTTTCTAGGTGGAAATCGACGTCCCTTTCAGTTCTAAAATACTATGACTCTACTACATTACTATTTTTTAAAGTACAGAGAACTGTGATTTCATAAAATACAACTGAAAATAAACATTAATCCAAATCACTATGAGAACTGAAAATAGGTATTAAGTTTCATCCTATAACCTTCAAACAGAAAAGATAATACAAGACTGAAATGGTCCATGTTGGAGGGGCTGTGCGAAAACAGGAAAACTAAGAAACTTCAGGGAGACTTGCCAGACTATCTGGAAAACAACTGTAATTACTGAGCAATTAATAGACATTAATTGGCTAGGTGCCAGGTGCTAGAGACAAAAATACAAACAGTTTCTAGCTTCAGGGGATTAGAAAAATACAAAGCATCTAACTAGGGAATCCACTGCATAGAGTGGTAGACTTATAGTCAGAAGACCTGAGTTCAAAGCCTACCTCTGATACTAGCAAGTCACTTAAGGTCTTTTGATCTCAGTTTTCTCATCTATGAAATGGTGATAAGAACACCTACCTTTCAGGTTTGTCGTGAGGAGCAAATGAGATAACAAACGTAAAGTACTTTGCAAGTCTTAAATCACTATATAAAAGCTACTTTTCATTATCATGTACAACACATTTGCAAGAAAATTCACCAAACTTCATATTCTTTGATCTGGCAATCTCACTATTAGACATATATGTCAAAGAGGTCAGAGAAAGGACAGGTAACATATACACCTAAATACCTATAACAGCATTTTATACAGTAGAAACTAAAAACAAGATAGGGCTTATCAACTGACATTAACAAATATTAATATGGCTAAACAATTTGTTACATGAATATAATGTAGCAATAACTACATGAGAAGAAAAATGACTAGATGAAATGATGCTGAATTAAGTAAGAGAATTACAAGAACACCACATAAAGGCCATCAAGCTCTTATTAATTTTATTTGCCAATACTGGTTCTGCAGAACTAATTTTCGAAGCATCTTCTTCTTCTTAGTATAAGGGGTTCCATGAGTGAAGACTCATGTCATTTTGTCAATTGCTTTTATATAAATATTCCTCATTAATTTGAGGGTTAAATGGGAAGTTTAATGGGCAATGGTTCGTTGATTTGTGAAAAGGAAAAGTAACAATAACACTTAAAAATATAACTAAAGCAATCAATCTTCAAAAGAGTCAATATTACTATTCTATATGAAGTTACCTCTGCTAAAAATTAACAGAGTATAAAATGCCAGGCTCAAATTATATGGAGAAAGAAGGTCCCCCGATTCATTAACAGCTATTAATGAAGAACAACAAAGGTCACATATACTGTTTGAAAGGAAAGACAAACAAAACAACCTCCTTTCCCGCCAAAAAAAAGACAGAAATAGAAACTGGCTTATCAACAATTCTTAGCGATAAGAATTGGTAAGCTTTTTGCCTTAAAAGTAAATGAAACTTTTATCACCTACACCAAGCAAACATTTTTTAAAAAATAAAATAAAAAATAAAATTAAAATATGCCATTTCATCTCTTCATGGAGGCCAAATTTGGTCATTATTTCACAATTTGTGGCCAAAATATTCACCCCAATGTGACCAACCAGGTTATGAGACTCCCCAGACACAACTAGGCTGGCACACTGATGAGACAAATGTACTTTCTCCAAGGTCTTTCTACCTTGGTAGGATGTACCAGAGCTTGAACCTATGAAAACTCTGGTGTCAGTCATTTTTACACCATAATGACACATCAGGATAGGATCTGAGTGGAAAGACCTTATATATTCTCCTGTAACAAAGTGTGCCCTTAAGATTTTTAAAGGAAGGCCTGTAATTTAAACAGTTATCGGCAATATACCTACCACTTGGTAAATGCTGGTAAAAGGCATTAAAAAAATCAAAACCTTTTCTTCTTTAGACCTATCCACCACTAAAAGAACATAAGAATCTTTAAAGCTTTAGGATGAAAGCTTCAATTCTCTACTGACCCAAAAGGTATGGTTTCTTTTGTCTTTCAGATACATAAACGTTCTGCTTTCCTCAATCTACCTTAAATTAGCACTGAGTGGCACAATGATAGTGTGTTGGACTTGAAATCAGAAGACCAGCATTCAAATCCAGCATCAGCCACGTTATAGCAATGTTAACACTGGGCAAGTTACTTAACTTCTGTCTGCCTTAAGTTTCCTCATCTGTACAAAGGGTATAAATAATAGCCCCTACTTCCCAGGGCTATTGTGAGAATCAAATAAGATAACATTTGTAGAGTACTTTGCAAACTTGAAAGCACTATATAAATGCTAGCTATTTAAAAAAATGAAATTTTAAAAATACAATCTTAAAGGAACTCACAAGACTATTTATCTTTTACAAATCATATTTAATGAAAACTACTCTAGATCAAATACATACTATTTCTTTCATCAATCAACATGGTCACTTTTGCTTTTAGAGAGAATTAATCGAAGGCAATAGAGAATTCTAAAATCACATTTACGCTCTTACAATCATGCTTTTACTTAGTTTTTAGTGAAGAAAATGAAATTATGCTAGGTTGTAGATAATTTACCAGACACTCAGTCCCTAGAATTATTCACATGATGATCTTCTGACCTTAGTAAATTGCTCTTACTTTTCCAAAGGGGATTTATTTATAACTTCTCCTAATTTCCCAAGAAACATCCAAAATCCACCTATCACATTTTTTTGAAGGCAATCTTTTTTTTTCCAGTATTCTTTTGGGGCATCCTCCGCACCCCATCCCATCCTCACCCCCACCCCACAACTTATCCTTGCTTCCTATCTTAGAGAGCCCTCTGCTGGATGGATGCTATTAATGCCTTTAATATTTTCTTCACCCTTCAAATTACACATTTACCATCTTGATTGCCTAATTGTGATTCAGTTTTAGAATACTAGTATAAAAACACTGAATCAAAATATTTAGAAAAGGTAAAATCGTTCTGATAAAGGGGGAAAATGGTTGCTATTGTAATCTAAACATATATATCTAAGTACATTATCACGGAACCTCCCTAGTGATACCTCCTTAATCAATTCAGTATACCACTCACAAGAACAACTACTTCAAACCTTTTCATCTCTCAAACCTGCTACAGAACTTCTTTTTACCACCCTCTTAGCTAAAAACTTTGCCTCATACCTCATCAAAAAAAAAAAAAAACTTTCTCTTCTCCCACGACTCAAACTTCTTCTACCTATCCTTCACTTCTATCTCATGTGAAAAGAAGACCCTTCTTGTGATCCCCCTACAGATACCCCTGATCCCATCCCTTCTTCTCTGGCTGATTACTCTACTAGCTCCATTGTCTACTCTTCAACTACTCCCTATCTGACTCTTTGCTGCCTACAAACCTGCCTATATGGCATCCCATCTTTAAAAAACTCTCACCTGATCCACATCCATTAGCTATTGTTCTCTATCTCTCTTCTTTCTTGGCTACAACCCTTGAAAGAGCTGTATATACTAGGTGCCTCCACTTCTCTCACTTGATCCTAAATCCTCAAGTTAACTGGCTTCCAAACTCATCATTCAACTAAAACTGCCCTCTCCAAAGTTACCAATGATCTTGTAATTACCAAATCTAATGGCCTTTATTCAATTCTTATCTTCTTGACCTCTTTTCAGCCTTTGAGACTAGCGATTTACACTCTCCTCTTTGACTCTTTCCTGGTGCTCCTTCTCCTATTTTTCTAACTGTTCGTTCACAGATTCTTTGCTGAATCTTCATCCATGTCACACTCACTAACAGTGGGTACCTCCTAGGCTCTATCCTGGGCCCCCTTCTCTTTTCCTGCTATACTATCTCACTTGCGGTTCTTAGCAGCTCCCATGGGTTCAACTATCATTTATAACAAAGTGTTTGTGTATATGTCCTACTCCTTCTAGGCTCCCATCCCACCATCAGAGAATACCTAATGGATATCTCAAAGTAAATGTTCCACATGCATTTCAAAGTCATTGTGTACACAATACAACTTACTATCTTTCCCCCAATCCTCTTCCTTTCTTCCAAACTTTCTCAAGAATGGAATCCAGGCTCACATTCCAGTGTTATCATCCAGCACTTGCTAGCCTCACACCCAATATCCAATTTCTTTCCAAATCTCATTATTTCTACTTATACAACATCTCTCAAAGAAGTTTCCCCTTCTTTCTACGATCCCAAACCTAGTGAAGGTCCTCATCGTCTCATATTTATACACCAGGGCCATCCATCCAATCTCACTCAGCCGCCAATGTGATACTCTTCAAGTGCAGGTCTGATCATGTCACCCCATCCTACCCCCAAACTTGATAAATTTCACTGGCTTCCTATTAACTCTACAGGATCAAATATATCATTATCTGTCTGGCATTCAAGGCCCTCCACAACTTGGCCCCTTCCTACCTTTCCAATCTTCTTACCAGTAATTCCTTTCCATATACTTTAAAATTCAGTTACTCTGGCCCTTTTTGTTGTTCTTCTCCATCCTTCATCAGTTTTATACAAAACAGTCATAAAAAATGTTTTCTATTTCTTACCTGCAAACCTGCAACATAAGAATCTTCACAATTCACGTAATGACCCAATATGGCATGTTGTGCTCGTAATTCATTATCCTTGATCCTCTGATGTAGATTGGAAATTTGTTGTTTCTGCCTATAAAACAGAAATTCAAGTCTGGTTATAAAAAAAAAAGAAAGAAAGAAAGAAAAAAAAAGAGTAAACATTTCTCAAGGAAAGTTCTCATTTTACCCTAGTTACAAGGACATAAAATCAACTTTAAAAACTTTTTTTATTAAACTTAACATAAAAATTTCCACACACAAAAAAAGATTGCACATGAAACCATGAGTTGATGTTGTATACAACTTATTTTTAAATTATATGTTAAATTTAACACGATAGTACCAATATTCCCTTGGCTTGCCTGTGTTCCCTTCTCAACTTCCTTCTGTTTTGTCATTTTTAATGTTCCATTGACACTTTTTTCCTCTTTCTCTTTTGGCATCACAATTACTACCTACTTAGTCCTTCAAAAACTACCCCGCAATGCATCAAAGAATAAAAAGTAAATAAAAACTAAGGCCTTCCCTTGTAACAAGTAAGCATAGTCAAGAAAAACAAATTCAGATATTAGTCATGTCTGAAAATGTATGTCTCATTCTGTACGTACAGTTTATCACTTCTCTGCCAACACCTAAGACTTACGCTTTATTATCAGTTTTCTGGAATCACTAATCAAACTGTTTAAAACTTTTAAGAGCTGTTTCCTTTTCTATTATTCTAAACACTATTCTGGTGCTGCTTCACTTCACACAAATCTTTCAAGGTTTTTCTGAACTCATTCCTTTCATCATTTCCCAAAGCACAATTACACATCTCACATCCTCTGGGAAATATATTTCTAATTTAGTATATGATTTAGCATCTTGATTTACCTCTCAATAAAATGTATATCCAACAAACAATGGAGAAGAGAAAATAGAAAAATATATTTTTAAAATAACTAAATCATCAATAAATAAATTCAAGGGACAGCTAGGTGGCACAATGAATACAGCTCTGGCCTTGCAGTCAGAAGGACCTGAGTTCAAATCCAGTCTCAGACATATGACACTAGCTATGTGACCCTGGGCAAGTCACTTAACCCTGACTGCCTCACCAAAAAGCAAAAAATAAATGAATGAATGAATGAATTCAGAATTTTTTTTAATTATTACATTCTCATTTTTGCTACATGGAAAATGCTGCTAAGTTTAAGGGTATATTAAGATTTAGATCTCTGTCGAGTCAGCAAACCATTTATTAAGTGCCTACTATATGCCAAGCACTGTGTTAAGTTCTGGGGATACTAGAAAGGCCAAAATAGTCTCTGTCATCAAAGAGCTCACCATCTAACTGGAGAGACAACATGTAAACAATTATGTACAAGACATATATAAAATAAAAATTGGAGATGCCAGAGGGAGAGTATTAGCATTAAGGAGGACCAACAAAGGCTTATTGCCCAGAAGGTAGGATTTAATATGAGACTTTAAGATAATTAGGAAGCAAAAGTGAGGAGAAAATTCCAGATCAAAGAGACAGTCAGTGAAAATGCCTGTAGACAGAGATCAAGAGCTACTGTGCATGGAACAAATAGGAGGCTGAAGTCAAAGGATCAAAAAATACTTGGAAAAGAGTAAATGTAAGAAGTCTGGAAAGGTAGAAAGGGGCCAGATTATGAAGGACTTTAAAAGCCCAACAGAGGATTTTATATTTGATCCAAGAAATTATAGGAAGCCACTGGAGTTTATTGAGTAAAAGAATGACATGGATGCATAAGTAGATCTGAGGATCATCAAATCCACATTGATGAGATCACCAAGTAAAAGAGTAAGGAACATTTCTCAAACTCTGTGCTTTCAGAGACCCTTTGCACGCTTAAAAATTACTAAGTATCCAAAAGAGGTTTGGTTTCTTGTGGTCATATCTATAGATATTTATTACATTAGAAATTAAAACTGGTAAATTTTTAAATATTTACCACCTCACTTTAAATAATCAACTCATTATATGTTAATCATAAATAATATTTATAAAACATAACAATTCTCAAAAAAAATTAGAAGAGTGGCATTTTTTTCACATTTTTACAAATTTCATGTCAGGCTTAATAGAAGGCAAGTGGAATCTCATACATGCTTCTTCATTCAATCTACTCTATGTTGTTTTGATTACAGTACATGAAGAAAATCTAGCCTCACACAGAGCTGGAAAAGGAAGGAATATTTTAAAGATACTATACCAAAAACAAACAAGTGGTACATTTTTAAAGTTTAGTTGCCATATGGAATCTGAAAGCACATCAATGTACTTTTCCTACTCAGTTAAATTAAAATCCATTGGTCTGCCCTGCACTATAAATGGACCTTTTATTCATGTGTAATTTGTACCATCATGCATTGGTTATTTGAAAAATACAGGTCTGCTTACTTATATACCATTCAATTGTTGACATGGTTCACTTTTTTTAAAAGTCACTTTTATTAATATCACCACCAATCTCAGCAGAAAAGTTTTTAAGTATTGGGAAGCTGTCAAGCTTAGGGTAATTGATATAAATTTTCCAAATATGATTTCTGTTTTGAAGTTCAACTATTAATAACTATTAGCAAATACTGTCAGTTGTCTTCCCTGAAGTGACATGGCTGTTCATTCATTTTTGAAAAAATGCTAGGGTAAATACCCAAATCTGAATAACCATAGTTTGTATTAGCCATTCTTCAATGTAAAAATGGTGTTTCCATGGAAAAAAAGATGATAGGTCAGTTCACAACTCAACACATGCGCTTTTCCTTAAGATGAACTTCCCGTTTTGTCCAACAGATTACTAAAAAGGTCTATATTTGATGATCAAGAAATAATAAAATAAGTAACTTTTATTTTCTTCATCAAGAGCATTCAAGTGCAACTAGTATTTTTTTTTAATTACCAGTGCACGGTGATGAAAAAATACAATGACTACTGATACAGTTTGGGGTCACTGCTTTAATGCAAGTAACAGAGCCAGCAATTTTACCCACCTTTTACACCACTGAATCATTGAAAAATGTCAAAACAATTGTTAATTAATCATAAAATTTTAAAAATTGATTAAACATTTTGAATATTTCACTACTCTGTGTGTGTGTGTGTGTGTGTGTGTGTGTGTGTGTGAGAGAGAGAGAGAGAGAGAGAGAGAGAGAGAGAGAGAGAGAGAGAGAATGTGTCTGTGTGTATCTCTTAACCTTCACTTCTTCTGTGATTGCTGATACTGGATGAGGCAAAATACCAAGTACAGCTATATCTGTAAATGTGTCCTTTTGGAAGGCCTTAGTACAATTCTGCAGATGAGATATTAATTCAGTTTTAACGTTTGAGGCTAAACCTTTAAGTTACAAATCATATGGTATCTAGAAAATTCCACTGTAGACTCATGAAGAATGAGAGAAAATAGCATCTTAATATTACTATGAAAATAGTTTTCACAGGCGCCAAGTGTCAGGAACCCAAGGGTCTGTAGACTACACTTTGAGAATTGTTTGTACAGAGGTTTTAGGATTAGGACATAGCCTTGGTGAACACCTAAAATTAGCAGGAGCAGTCAGGATGAAGGTTTAGCAAAGGTGATTAAGGAGAAGACAGACAGGTAGGAGGAGATGCAGGACAGAAAGTGTTATTATGAAGATCTAGAAAAAAGAGAGCATTCAAGAGAAAGCCAAACATTAGGGAAGGACATTCACTAAAGATCAAGTAACACAAGAAATTAAAGATGTGCTAAGAAGTAATAGTGGGGGGAAGTCTCGGCGAAGAAATAAAAAGTTCAAATTTTCATGAACAAAGAAAAACAGAACTAGTTGTGACAAAAGGAAAAGAGGCATTAGAGACAAAGGGAAAAATAATTTCAATATTCTGAAATGAATCCAGGGAAGACAGCTAAAAGGTGGGAAGATCAGGAAAGAGAAGTTTACAGACTAATAATTGAGAAGAAGAAAGCAAAAGCAAGAGATGAAGATTTAGTAGAAGACAAACAGGAAAGGAAATATTTTACAAGACATTGTGATCTGACAGCATTAACATAGAAGGGAATCTTCTTTCTCCAAAAAGTTTTTAAATAAGGTGATCTATCAACTGCCTCATGGCAGCTGACATAATAGTACAATGACTCTATCATTCCCACTATCTGAGATCAAAGAAATGTATGAAAAAGAGGAAAGATACATCACAAAAATTCACCGCTATCTTCAATTTATGCATGAATTTAATTTTTTAAAATAAGGATACAATCTAGATTCGTTTTTCCTTTCTTTTTGTTTTTTTTTTCCTTTCTGAGCTCTATTAATACAAGAGAATTGAATGATTACATAGATATAAAATTGTTATTTAGGCAACAATTCATGCTGTAGATGCAAAATGAAGTTAGAATAAGAGGCAGGAGCATTAGAGGAGGAGCTAATAAAGTTTGCAAAGCCTATGGAGACTTTCATTTTCCATTTTTATAAAAAAAGATTACTTTTTAAAAAAAACTATTGTTATTTTGTTCTTACATTACCCACATTTCCCATTATATTACTTAGCAATTATATAGAACAGGAGTGGGGAACCTGCAGCCTTAAGGCCACATGTGGCCTTCTAGGTCCATAAGTGTGGCCTTTTGACTGAATCCAAGTTTTACAGAAAAAAAGCCTTTTTTTATTAATATATTTTGTTCATTTTTTATATTTATTTTATTTTTAGAATGAATGTATTTAAAATACCAAGGAATAAATTAAGTTTCAACAAAATAATCCTCCCAGATTGACCCGCACAATTAGAACATTAGTAAGCCATAAGGGCTAAACCGACCACTGCTACGCTCATTATACTTCCTCTATCTGACTGGTGCTACTACAACATCAGGCCAGTTGGTGATATTTTATGGGTTTCGAGTAAGCCAATCTGTTATCAGCTTTTGACAATAGTACACTGTGTTTCTGTTTGAAGTGGAATTTGTGAATAGTTGCATAGCTCAACAGTATTTTTTAATTCTATCTCCTCAACAGCATGTCACATCAAAGAAGACCAAACGAATGCTGAAGGAAAGAAAACAGATTTTTTTTTAAATTTTTTTGGCTAGGCAATGGGGTTAAGTGACT